AAAAAAAAAGAATTACATAGACTCATGGGAAAATATTAACAGTACCTAAGGTTAGTTTAAAGGAAAAACCATCACCTTCTTAATGTGTACCCATTTCTTTAAGTATGGCCAAAAATAATAGCGAAAAAGTTCAGATCCATTTGCCCTCATTCCAGGAACTAGAAAAACAAGTCTAAGAACCTCAGCTGGTTTAGCTAAAGTGTAGCCATTTTGGGACATTTACAAGCTTTACCATACAAAGGGTCTTTCTCTCTTTCACCGACCTTTCCAAGCATAATGTCCTCCTCCACAGACTGGCCACTCTTAACATAACCAAAATATGTAAGACAAAGTTTCACCATCCTTGCCTCTAAGGAGCACTCTGGCTCCACTAGATTCCATGAATGAATAATTTTGAAAACAGACCTGTAAGTACAGCTTTCTTGATTTTATGTTTTCTTTTATTTATAAGAGAAGTTAATTTCTGTCAGTTTTTCTCCAATGTTGTTGGATGCAGAAGTGACCATGGAGGGAATGCACACTCTGCTACTGAGGCCCTACCCTGGTTCTCTAGTGCTGCAATTATAACAGAGCCACCACAGGTGGACAGCTTTACCCAACAGAAATTCATTAGAAGCCCAAATTCAGGTGCCAGTTTAGAGGAAGGTTCTTTCGCTCTGCCAACTGTGGATGATAGTCCTTGTTTATTTCCGCGTCTGTAAGTTTCTCTGAGATCTGTAAAGTGTTTCCTGAAGATCTCCAGTTCTCTTGGCCATCCTCAGTATTGAGAGGCTTCCTCATTACAGAGATCTGGATCCAAAACGACGCTCTCCATTCCTGGCAAGTCTTTCTTGATTTTATTGAGGTTTCCTTCCTTCTCACTTTTCCCCCCTTCTCTCAATGCCATAAAGTCGGGAAAAGCACCTAGCAGCTTTCTAAGGCTTTATAAAACCCATAGGAAGAAATTTCCCATCTTTGTAACTTGGAGCAGCTAGTGACATAGAACTGCCAGAGAGACAAAGCCTTTGCGTTATCAACACATCTCCTTATGGACTTCACTGAAGGTGTCATAGTTATACCCTAGAGAAACTCCTCTTCTGTCCAGTTAGGGCTGTGATGGGATTAAGGGGTATTGTAGTCCATACTTAATTCATTTATAACTATTTAGTTTATCAGATCGTGAGGAATCATTACATCGCATTCTTGTTATATTTTTACATGAAGAATATTGAATGTATCATGAACTGCTAAAAAACAAACAGATTCATCCTGGAGAGGGTGAACCAATAAAAGCTGAGATGTAGGAAACATGTTTTATTCACTTATTTACTTGACGTTTGTTAGACTCAACTTTTTTTTATTTGATTGAGCTTTTTGTTTTGTTTCCCTAGATTGACTATAATGTGTATATTAGGGACTTTTGATATTTGCTGTCCCTGTTTTGCATGGTACATTGGGTGTCACAAGATACTGACAGTGCAAATCTGGTGACAAAGTGTAAGCAGCTGACATCGTAAGTCCCTGGGTGGCATAAATGGTTTACACTAGATTCTCAAAACTCTTTGCTATAGGGGAGCTCTGGTGGCCTAGTGGCAAGAAACTGCATTGCAATCCCAGAGGAACACGGTTCGAATCCACCAGACAGACGCTCTGCCAGAGAAGGAGGCGCAATATCCTCCTGTACCAGTCAGATCTGATTTGACGGTACACGTACACAAAAAAATTAAAAAAAAAAAAAACCTCTTTGCTATATATTTGGAACTGACTCATTGCTGGCTCTCCAGAGAGTTTTCAGAAGCTATAAACAAACAAACAATTATGTCTAGGAAAGGGTACAGCCAGAGTATTCTTTGGAGGCAAGGATGATGAAACTTCACCTTACATACCTCAGGGATATTATTGCTAATGTCAG